TTGGATATATTATTCAGACTTTAAGTTCGTCAGCATACGGCTTCCCACTGTGTTGTGTACCCAATGCTTACACTATCATCGAAAATGGTCTTTGCCAACCCTCCCATCAGCTCTGAGTTTGGCTGGCAGTTTGTCTGATCGTACGTAAACACAACCAGCTGTTAAGGAAGCAGCATTCCTTAGTGAGCAAAAAATGATAGCGAAGAAATGATCACTAAATGGTAACCTGACTTGTTTCGAGTTGGTGGAACCAGACCTAGAAACCGCATAGTTTCAAAGTCCACACAGTGTGAAGAACAGGTGAGGGACCTGATTCCAGCTGAGCTGCATCGTTTCCCGCCCTGTTCCCCAGGACCCGTCCTTCCCCCTCCTACTCCTGCTGGGTCCTGCCCCCACCTGCAGGGAAGTCAGTCTGAGAGGGTGAGTGACCCGCCTGCCAGCCGGACTGTTCCACTCCCTGGAACCTCCAAAACCCATTGCCCCTCCCAAGCCCTCCCACGTCACCATCCTCCCTGAGGGCAGCCTTTCCTGCCACCTCTGGCAGACTTCCGGGGCTCAGGTACAGTCCACAACAGTCTGCAACACAGCACCCCCTCGGGACCACTGCTGGGCCCGGATTTCCAACTCCAGTGGAATCCACACTGCTCAGTGCAGGCCACGCCAGTCAGTCTGAGCAGGGACTTCCGCAGCTCACATGCAGACCACACCAGTCAATCTGAGGACCGACTTCCGCAGCTCACATACAGACCACGCCAGTCCATCTGAGGAAGGAGTTCCGTAGCTCACATACAGACCACGTCAGTCCGTCTGAGGAAGGAGTTCCGCAGCTCACATACAGACCACGCCAGCTGGAACCACAGGGGCAGACCACAGCAGTCAGAGAACAACCCCACACCTGTCAGCAGAAGAGAGCCCCACCACCAGAAGGCCAGCTCCAAACTTGGACAGAGACTCCCTACTAGAGCAGGGGTCACTAGAAATCCAGACCACAAAGAATACCAAAAAGGGAACAGAAACCAAGAATAAATCACCCATTAAACAAAGACAAACTCAGAAGTCAGCCCCTAGATCTATAATCACCCCAGATCGGATGCCTAAACTCCAGGGAAAGAACACAATCTACAACAGCCAGGGTAATACGTTACCACCAGAGCCCAGCTATCCCATGACAGCAAGCCCTGAATATGCCAAGGCAGCTGAAGCACAAGAAAATGACTTAAAAACAACTTTATGAAGGTGATAAAAGAAAAAAAAATAAAATTCCTTACAAACTGAGAAAAAGACCAAGAAAAATTAGATGAAATCAATAAATCCCTAAAAGAATGCCAAGAAAGCTAAATTAAACAAACAAACTGCTCAAGAAAATGGAAATAAAAGCAATGAAGAAGACACACAAATGGAAGGAATCCTGAAACTGGAAATCTGGGTAGGCACATGGGAACCACAGATGCAAGCGTCACCAACAGAACACAAGAGATGGAAGAGAGAATCTCAGGCATTGAAAACACAATAGAGGAAATAGATTAATCAGTCAAAGAAAATGCTAAATCCAATAAATTCCTAACCCAAAACATCCAAGAAATCTGAGACATTATGTAAAGACCAAACCTAAGAATAATAGGAATAGAAGAACGAGAAGAAGCCCAGCTCAAACACCCAGAGAATATATTTAACAAAATCATAGAAGAAAATTTCCCCAAGCTAGAAAGGACATGCCTATAAAGGTATCAGAAGCTTATAGAACACCTAATGGATTGGAGCAGAACCGAAATCCCCTCCCTACATAATAATCAAAACACTAAGAATACAGAACAAAGAAAGAATATTAGAAGCAGCAAGGGGAGGAAGATCAGGTAACATATAAAGGCAGACCTATTAGAATCTCACCTGACTTCTCAACAGATACTCTAAATTCCAGAATAGCCCAGACCGATGTCTTGCAGACTCTAAGAGACCTTGGATGCTGGCCCAGAATACTATACCCAGCAAAACTTTCAACACCATAGATGGAGAAAATAAGATATTTCATGACAAAGTCCAATTTAAACAACATCTATCCACAAATCCAGCCCTACAGAAGGTACTAAAAGAAAAAAAAAACCCAAAAGTTAACTATACCCACAAAAATGCAGGCAATAGATAATCTCAGAGCAGCAAAACCCTAAGAAAGGAAACACACACACACACAGAGAGAGACTATCACTACCAACAAAAATAACAGGACTCAATGGTCATTAATATCCCTCAATATCAATTAATTTTATTCACCATAAAAAGATACAGGCTAACAGAATGGGTAATATCTAGCAAAACAGACTTCTAACCAAAATTAGTCAAAAGAGATGGAGAAGGATATTTCATACCCATCAAAGAAAATACCCACCAAGATGATGTCTCAATTCTTTACAACTATGCCCCAAACGTACAGGTACCCACATTTGTAAAAGAAATATCACTAAAGCTTAAATCACACATCGAATCTCACACATTAATAGTGGGAGACTTTAACACCCCATTCTACCAATAGACAGGTCTGCCAGACAGAAAATCAACAGAGAAACAAGAGAACTGATGGATCTTATGACTCAACTGGTTTTAAAAGACATCTACAGAACATTTCAGAATATATATTCTTCTCAGCACCTCATGGGACCGTCTCTAAAACTGACCTTATATTCAGCCACAAAGCAAGTCTCATCAGATACAAAAAAAAATTGAAATAACCCCTTGTTATCAGACCACCATGGATTAAAGCTGTATTTCAACAACAGAAAGCTTACAAACTCAGGAAAACTGAACAACTCTCCACCGAGTTACCGTTGGGTCAAGAAAGCAGTAAAGAACTTAAAGACTTCATAGAATTCAATAAAAATGAACAAATGACATACCCAAACTCATGGGGCACAATGAAACAGTGCTAAGAGGAAAATTCATAGCACTAAATGCCTTCATGAAGAATTTGGAGAAATCTCATACTAGCGACCTAATAGCACCCCTGAAACTCTAGAACAAAAAGAAGCAAACCTAAGAGGAGCAGATGGCAGGAAATAATCAAACGGAGGGCAGAAATCAATAAAATAAAAACAAAAAGAACAATACAAAGAATCAATGAAACAAAGAGTTGGTTCTTCAAGAAATAAAATAAACAACCCCTTATCCAAACTAACTGAAAGGCAGAGAGAGAATTTCCAAATTAACAAAATCAGGAACAAAAAGGGACATAACAACACACTCCAAAAAATCCAGAGAATCATTAGGCCATACTTCAAAAACCTGTACTCCACAAAATTGGAAAATCTAAAAGAAATGGACAAATTTCTTAATAGAAACTTATCAGAGTTAAACACTTATCAGAGTTAAATCAGGACCAGATAAGCAATTTAAATAGACCTACAACCCATAAGTAAATAGAAACATTTATTAAAAGTCTTCCAACCAAAAACAAATTAAAAAAAAAAGTTCAGGGCCAGACAGTTTTAATGCAGAATTCTACCAGACTTTCAAAGAAGTGCTAACATCAATATATCAAATTATTCCGCACAATAAAAACAGAAGGAACATTGCCAAATTCTTTCTATGAGGCCACGATCACTCTGATAACCAAACCACACAAAGACTCAAGAAAGAAAGAGAATTGCAGACCAGCTTCTCTCAAGAGAATTGATGCAAAACTACTCAATAAAATCCTGGCAACCCGAATGCAAGAACACATCCAAAGATCATCCACCAAGAAGACCAAGTCGGCTCCATCCCAGAGATGCAGGCATGGCTCAACATACATGAGTCTGTCGATGTAATCCGCCATGTAAACAAACTGAAAGAAAAAAACACATCATCACCTCATTAGATGCTGAAAAAGCCTTTGATACCCCTTCAATACCCCTTCGTGATAAAAATCTTGGGGAGATCAGGAATACAAGGGACATACCTACACATACTGAAGGTAACATACAGCAAGCCAGTAGAGGGATCAGTTGTGGAGCCCAAGGCAGTCAAAGGCCCAGGAGAGCACAGCTGCCTAAATTAACCCTGCGCCACAGAGAGGATGAAAAGAAAAGGGCACACGACAGCCATGGCTGTGCACTCTAACGAAAACCCAGCACGCATTGACTCATGAGGAAACGTAAAACAAGCCAAATTTGAGAGATGCCCTATAATAAAATTTGCCTAATTTTCATTTCAAGGGCCCAAAGATTAAAGGCTGTGGAATTGATCTGGGCTGAAGGGAACCAAGAAGATGTAACAACCGAGTACAACATACAATCTGGACTGGTCCGACGGCCTCGGTGGCTGACTGTAAGAGAACGGCCTGCTTCCGTTCTTCAGGCAGAACAACTCTCTGTCGGATCTGAGACTTTTCTGTATGTCCTGGCTGATTGTCATACATAGAAATGTGCTCAAGGTGGTGATGTTTAAAACAAACATAATTTTATAATTGTGGAGCTATGACTATATAGAAACAAACCTATTTCAAGAGTACTGACACCACAAAGGGGGAAGAAAAGCCTGCTGTCATGGGTTCTTAAAATACATGCCCTGGGCATGAAATGATCCGAAGGTCCTCTGTGCTGTCTTAAGATGTAAAGCGTAAGCCTCGATAAAGAAGGAAATACCCGCAAAGACAAAATAGGTCAGAGAGACAGACAGATGGACGTGTTGGCAGTGCGATGTCACTCAGACCACTGACAGTGGCAGACAGAGGAATCGTTAGAATGAGTGATAGATTTGAAGCTTTATTTCTTGACATCAAAATACTCGAGAGGCAAAAGAGCCAACGTTAAGTGTGGTGGAGGGAAATACTCAAATATATTCTAGATAAAGGGTTAGTGTCGCCAAACTATATAAGGAACTATAACAAACAAGTGTGACTTACAGTAGAAAAGGCGGTCGTGGCAGGTAATTTATAAAGGAGGGAGCTGCAGGCGCCACACGCTCACCCTAAGGCCAAGCTCTCCACGCAGACCGCAAGGCCTGCCCACATTCACCAGAGCCCTACCCACCTGCGCAATGGCTCCGTCTGGCAGCGCTGCGACATCAAATTCCACAGGTACAGCCGCCAGGGCTGTGTCAGAGGCACTTCGCTCAGGGCTAATGGGCTTTTCCTCAACTGCTTTGGACTTCGAAAGCTTGTACTTCCATTTCCTCAGCTGAAGTTCGTGCTTTAAAATCTGCAATGAAAATAACTTATAAACTCCACGGGCTTGTCCCCAGGGTCAAAGGCAATGATGCCGAGAAAGCCCACACCGGGCATAACATTAGCACCAGGGACACGCTGCTGATTGCCATGTGACCTAAGTGACGGTTTTCCCAAGACCATCTCAGCTTTTACAAATCGTTTCCATCAGCTATCGTAAATACTGGCACAGGAAACCCCCTGAGAGACCTGGTGCTGTCTCCAAAGATGAGAGAACTGTGGGTCACAAAGTGGCGTGTCCAGCAGCAGAATCACCAGTGTAGGGATACGGAAGGAAAGTGTTAGCGAGGAGATAGCCAGGACAGGAGTTGAGGAAAGGTTTCAGAAACCTGTCTGGAGACCCACATTGGAGCATCGGACTGAAATCTCAAGGTCCAAATCAGGAGCAAAAGGAGACTCAGGACCGCGAGGGGTGCACTCACACACTGAGACAATGGGGATGTTCTATCGGGAACTCACCAAGGCCAGCTGGCCTGGGTCTGAAAAAGTCTAGGATAAAACCGGTCTCGCTGAACATAGCGGACAGTGAGGACTACTGAGACCTCAAGAAAAATGGCAATGGGTTTCTGATCCTACTGCACCTATTGGTTTTGTGGGAGCCTAGGCAGTTTGGATGCTCACCTTACTAGACCTGGATGGAGGTGGGTGGTCCTTGGACTTCCCACAGGGCAGGGAACCCTGATTGCTCTTTGGGCTGACGAGGGAGGGGGACTTAATTGGGAGAGGGGGAGGGAAATGGAAGGAGGCGGTGGGGATGAGACAGTAATCTTTAATAAATAAACAAATAAATAAATAAATAAAAAGAAAAAATCTATAGATATCATTTAAAAAACTTGCATGCTGGCTAAGAGAGGCTGCCTTGATTTTGTTTTGTTTTCATCTTTAAATAAAGCACTGTTCTCTTGTGGTCTGTTGAAAAAAAAAAAAAGAAAGAAAGAAACCTGTCTGATTTCTGGTTACAGCAAGCCCGCTTGAACGTGATATATTTCCTGAAAGCTGTAACGAGAATGCACTTCTACGGGTCAACGAGCAACACAATTTTAGTGTGAGGTCTTTACCTCATACTCTCAGGAAAGCCAGCACGCCAGGGATCACGGCCTGGGTGCCCAGCACATACCCTCGCTCACTGACTGCAGAGTGGCTGTTGGCCAAGAAGTTGTATAGGGGGAAGGAATTCCTAAACACTCACCTAACTACAATATATACAGGATAGAATATTGCTGATACCCACTCTATATACCAGCCAGGGCATGCTAAATAAATATCACGAGGCTCAAGACAGCTCCAACTTTTCTCAGGTTGGTTGTAGCTGACTATGTCACCGTTAGAACATCCATGACCGGCACAGGCGGTGGTCATAACACTACCTTAGTACACACAGTGGTTGCAAAAGCGTGGCGTGGGCAGAAGCAGAGTGAAGTGGTTTCCACAATAGGAAGAGGACAGAGGGTAGCATGCAAAACAAGCCAACTCAGTGTCCGTCAGTTGTACACATCTAGAAAGCAGGACTTCTGCTTCACGCATGGCAGACTCCAGTGTTTCTCGGGCTTCACACGCTCCTCCTGCAGACGCGGCACCGGCTCCCCCAACAGTCTGATAGGTTGTGGGTGAGCGGGGCTGCCGAGCCTGCCCTCGGAGGGCAAAGACTTAATTCCAACTTCTTTTCCTCTTTCCTATTTAACTCAACTTTGTATTTGAAAGAGATTAAAAGCATTACCTACTAAATAATGCGACTGCACAAATCTCAAGCTTATATCTCTGTATCTGACTCAAGTACTCTTAATGTTCTAGAACAACCAGGGCAATAAAATACTCAAGTAATGTAAACAGAAGGGAGTTTTAAGTTTTCAGGTGTTCCTTGGGTCCTCTATTTTAATTGCTTAAATTATGAGTGGGTTTCCTAATTACAAATAATTCTCCAAGTTTAGCCATTAGTAATTAAAATAAATTAACTATTGAAACTGGCATATTAAATGTTGAAAAAAAAGCAACTTAATCTTACTTAGAAAAGGAAAAATTTTACTGAGTCCTTATCTTCTTCATTTTATTCATATCAGAGACTCTTGCAGTTTAGATATCTCAATATTAATTAAAGAATTCCTAGTGTCTTCACCAATATCTTTAAGCAAAATATTAAGATGGCATTTAAAAAAAGTGTCTGCTATCATACCAAATCGTCTTCTCTTGATTTACTCCTCTGTCTGGCTTTCTCCTTCCATGTTGCTAGGATAAATTTTTTCCTTTGGGTATAAAACATCTCTCGCAAGCGGAGCAGCGAAACTGCAAGAAATGCACTTGGTTATTTCAAGTAGCGAGAGCTGTCTCTGAAGATGAATGAACTAATGCTCCTACAGCTTGGGCTTCATTTTAATCACAAAATTAACTACTGCTGTAGCATTAGATGGCGCTCTAGAGACATTTAATCCTGTAAATATGCCTGTGCCCTTAGAAACTGGAGATAGATAGATAGATAGATAGACATATATATATTGCCTTTTTAAAAAACAAATTTATCTTTTACAAAACTTGGACTTCTAAGCATTTCATAAGAAACATGATATTCAGAATTATGTGTTCTAGAATTAAATTGATTGTGTGATACACGTTAGAGGCCAATAACTCGAACACAGGAGCCAGGAAGAGCAAATAGGCTGGGGAGCAGGCAGCTTCCTCAGCCGCACCCAAGCTACGTGCTCTCTAGGTGTAACGGTTGGTTTGCTGGTTGGCGGTATAAGTGAACGCCCAAACTAGGTGCTGTGGGGTGGACATTTACCTACAAGTCTTTCTCTAGTGGTCTTCACATAGGAGAACCAGTGAATGAAAAATGATTTCAGACATCTGGAATTATAATGTTCTATTGCTCTGTTCATTTTTTCGGCCATGATTGCCTCCTGATTTGCACGAGGTATTGCGACCTCCTTCCAACCACTGCAGGCAAAAGATACAGAAATACATTATTCTCAAAATAATACTTTGAGACTAGGGTCATAGAGCACACACACACAACTTGAAGTTCTGCTAATTAAGATGTTATCATAAAATAAACACATCTTGGGATAACATCATTCTCATAACTTCAATTTACACAGAGAATAACCTTCACGATGATATTTTTTAAAAAAGGAATTTAAATTCCCAAACATATACAAATGCAAGGATTTTAGACAAGCTGTGTTTCAGAGAAGCAGTATTTTAACTAAGTACAAGCTCATCAAATACAAAAGACGCACAGAAGGCAGAGGTAGCCTTCCTCTGTGTGAATAATAGAAGGGATAAAAGACAATAAGGAGAAAACGCATCCTCACCCAAAATGGCTCTTGACTAAATGTCCAGTGTAAAATGTGCAGGCTTTCACCATCAGCTCTGGAGTCACCTAAGAGAGATAAGTAATTGAACTGCACACTAGAAATAAATAGAACAAAGCTGGGCGTGGTGGCGCACACCTGTGGTCCCAGCTCTCAGGCGGCAGAGGCTGGAGGATCTCAAGGACAACTAGAGAACAGAGCTCTAGGGCTCCCTAGCGAGACCCTGTAAAGCAAAGAAGGTGGAAGAGAGCCCCTGCAGGACGTCCGAGGAACTGGGACAACAGCCTCCGAGGAGAAGAAGGAGGAATTACTATCACTTACATAGTTAGAAACTGTATTTTTTCTTTTTTATTATTTTTATTGAGTTATACGTTTTCCCTCCGCTCCTCTCCCCTCATCCCTTCTCCCCTTCTACCCTCTCCTGTGACCCCCATACTCCCATTTACTCAGGAGATCTTGTCTTTTTCACCTTCCTGTGTAGATCCATGTATGTCTCTCTTAGGGTCAAACTGTATTATATGTGTCTATTATCATTTTTACTGAAGTCGCATTATTTTGTATATTTTATAGATTCTTTGAAACTCCATACATACATACAATGCATTCTGAGCACGTTCACCTTCTACTCCTTACACTAAGTTCTCCCAGACTCACCCCCGTAACACACAATTCCATGTGTCCCACCTTACACAGTACTGAATCCAGTTTGCGCTGCTCACATATGCATGGCCATGGGGCCAACAACTGGAGTATGGCCGACCTACCAGTGTGGTTCTTTGTTTTGCTTGTTAACTCTTTGGGGGCCCACCACCTAGTTCCCACATAAATAGGTGCAGAGTTATTCTTATCTACAAATGCCCAACCTCAGCGTGGCTTGTTTCTAGCCAACGTAACTTCAATTATCCCATTTCTCTTTGACTACGCTTTGCCTCTGGGCTTTTTACCTTTCTTTTCTTTTTCTCCTTTTTTTTTGTTTGTTTGTTTGTTTTTTGAGACAGAGTTTCTCTGTGGTTTTGGAGCCTGTCCTGGAACTAGCTCTTGTAGACCAGGCTGGTCTCGAACTCACAGAGATCCACCTGCCTCTGCCTCCCAAGTGCTGGGATTAAAGGCGTGCGCCACCACCGCCCGGCTTACCTTTCTTTTTCTATATATATTTCTTTCCTTCTTATTCTGCAGCTGGTTAGGTGGCTGTGTGGCTGAGTGGCTGGGTAGCAGGCTTTGTGGCTTTGTGGCTGTGTGGCTGGGTGGCCGGGTGGCTGGGTGGCAGACTGTGTGTCTGTGTGGTTGTGTGTCTGGGTGGCTGTGCAGCTGTGTGGCTGAATGGCTGTGTGGCTGTGTGGCTGTGTGGCTGGGTGGCTGAGTGGCTGTGTGTCTGTGTGACTGTGTAGCTGTGCAGCTGGGTGGCTGTGCAGCTGGGTGGCTCAGTGCCTGGGTGGCTGTGCGGCTGGGTGGCTGTGTGACTGTGTGGCTGTGCGGCTGGGTGGCTGGGTGGCTGAGTGGCTGGGTGGCTGGGTGACTGTGTGGCTGTGTGGCTGGGTGGCTCAGTGGCTGTGTGGCTGTGTGGCTCAGTGGCTGGGTGGCTGTGTGGCTGTGTGGCTGGGTGGCTGGGTGGCTCAGTGGCTGGGTGGCTGAGTGGCTGGGTGGCTGTGCGGCTGGGTGGCTCAGTGGCTGGGTGGCTGTGCGGCTGATTCTCCTGGTAGTATATGCCTGCAATCCCAACAGTCAGAAGGTGGAGACAGAAGAATCAGATGCTCAAGATCATTCACATACAACTACAAGGCAGGCTTAAAGCCATCCTGAGCTACCTCAAAGCTTGGCTCAAAAGGAAAAGAAAAAGCATTGCAGTCTGTTGTTCACTGTTGAGACTGTCTCCTGTCAATGCTGTAAGATGATAGTCTCTCCTCTAAACAACATGCAAGAACGCTTCACCAACAAGGACTAAGAAAACCACAGAAAATAAAAGTATAGACCGTGGAATCTGCTTAAGGAGAAACACAGCTATTCACAATAGACGGTTTGACCCGACTGACCTCCTCTATGCCCTCGGAGGAGCAGACGAGACGGTAGCACATTTACTCTGTGGGTGTGAGCACTGTTAAGGACCAGGAATGTTTCTGTCTCTTTTTTTTCCTGCATGTGTATGTGAGGTGTGGTGTCTGCTCACCCCTGTGCACAGGACTGGTACAAATACAGTGCCAACAAAGTTCAAGTGACTTTAAACTTCATAATTTTGAACTAAAAAAATCGCAAAGGTTTTACATTACAATCGCAAAGGAATTATCAATGCGGCCAATAAAAATGATATTGAGCGCCTCTTCTTCCCGGAGCTGAGGAAACTGACCGCGACTGTTATCTGAGTCCTTGTTACTCGTTGCTTTCACGCTGGCAGGAAAGGGACCTCAGCATTGAAAGCACAAGCTGACTTGCTAGAGTGGATGCAAAGTGTGATCACCCAGGATGCCTTCAGCAAGACAGGAGCCCAGGGGATGAAGGGCCACTTTGGATCTTAAGGAGTTGTAGATGTAGACACACGAAAGGCCACCTCAGCCAGACACCAGGCCCTCAGAAAGAGAGCCAAGCCTCTGAAGCTCAGGACACAGCAGCAACAGCAAAACGCACCCAAGTCTCTGAAACAGCAACAGCTGTCTGCACAACAGCGCCATGGCCGAGTGTGAAGGACCAGAGTTCCGCCGTGAGCCGTTCCTCCCCATCTCCAGCAGGCTACCAGCAGGTACCTTGATGACAACTCAAAGGGTCTGTGCATGAAGGAACGCTCGCTGTCACCTGCTTTTCAATGCTCTATTTTATACACACATTCAAATAAATACAATTTTAGAAAATAATGTTTCATAAACTTGTAGATACTTACTAACAATTTTATTAAGCAAAGTCACTGAAACAGTTTAGATTAATAACAAATATTACTTTTGAGGAAGAGTCTTGTTATATAAATCAGGTTGACATGGAACACCTGCCTCTGAATCATGACTGTTGGCAAGGGCATTATTTACATCTCAGATGCCGTAAATAACAGGAAATAGGACACACAAGTACTATAGAATTGCTAGCATTCTTCCATGTTATGCCTAAATTTACAGAAAACAACATTAATCTAACTCAAATCATCATTCCCATACTTTGTTCCAGATTATGGGAATATTTAAATTGATGCTTTCTCAGGGCTAGTAATTATCCAGTCTCTCTCTTCTTAAAATTTTATTTATGTATCTATTTTTATATTTATTTATTTATTTATTTATTTATTTATTTATTTATTTATTTATTTGGGTCAGGGTTTCTCTGTGTAACCCTGACTGTGCTGTCCTGTAACTCACTCTGTAGACCAGACTGGCCTCGACTCGCAGAGATCCACCTGCCTCTGCTTCCCCAGCGCTGGGACTAAAGGTGTGCGTCATTTTGGCTGCCTCCCTCCGGTCTCAGATGAAAAGAAGTCTGATGACAGACACCAAGGGCCAGGATTGGTTACCAAGGCTTCTGGTCTGCAGCACAGGGCCTCCCTCTCCCAGACCAGCAGCGCCAAGCCCTAGGGTCCCAGGTTCACTCTCCTTTCCCTAGATGAGCTCATCTGCATCCGTGAGACTACTTAAAGCCCCGGGTTTTCATTGACTTTAGGTTTCAGATGGCGCTCCTGGTGCCAGCACCATTGAAAAAGCTGTGTGTGGCATTTACAAAAGTATCAAATATAAGTGTGAAGGATTCAATTTTTAAAGCTGTATATATGAATATATATATATATATCTTAAGCATATTTAAGGAGGAAATATATAGAACATTATAGATAGATTTGTGCTGTGTATATGCAGTGTGTGTACAATGTATATTCAGTGTATTGCAGTATTTGCAGTGTGTGCGTGCAGTGTTTTGTGTAGGGTGTGTGTGTGCAGTGTGTGTAGTGTGTATATGGTATATGTGTGCTGTGTTGTGTAGTGTGCGTGTGCAGTGTGTGTTATGTGTATATATGTAGTGTGCTGTGTGATATGTGTGATGTGTGTGTGCAGTGTATATGCTGTGTGTGTGCACAGTGTGTGTGTGCAGTGTGTGTAGTGTGTGTGTGCTTGTATTGTGCAGTGTGAGTATGCAGTGTGTGTTGTGTGTATATATGTAGTGTGTTGTGTGGTATGTGTGATGTGTGTGTGCAATGTGATGTATGTGCAGTGTGTATGCTGTGTGTGTAGTGTGTGTGTGGTATGTGTGCTTGTATTGTGTAGTGTGAGTATGCAGTGTGTGTTGTGTGTATATGTGTACTGTGCTGTGTGGTATGTGTGATGTGTGTGCAGTGTATATGCTGTGTGTGTGCACAGTGTGTGTGTGCAGTGTGTATAGTGTGTGTGTGGTATGTGTGCTTGTATTGTGTAGTGTGAGTATGCAGTGTGTGTTGTGTGTATATGTGTAGTGTGTTGTGTGGTATGTGTGATGTGTGTGCAGTGTGTGTAGTGTGTGTGTGTAAGAAGCCACAGAGGAGAGGAAAACAATATAATTTCTCATGTTTTAAAGAGCAGACTAAAAAAAACACTAAAATTGGTTACCTAAAAGGAGGGATAGATTAGATCTTAATATTAATTCTATATTTTGTACTATTACATATAACTGGAAAAGCATAATTATATCAAAGAGAAAAGTAGGTAACATCAACATTGAGCAACAATTAGGTAATAAAATTTAGGTAATAAAGAAGTATTACTTTTACTGAAACTACCTAAGAGAATACATTCACTTTAGAGAGTGAAAGAGTTGTGTGATGTGTCTGAGCTGAATTAAGTATTCTTTAAAAGAAAGCACTTGTTTTTCTGTGTTAGGCATTGGTCCGAATGCACAGCATGTGAGAGCTTGGTGCACACAGGATAGGGTATCAGATCCCCTCAAAGTAGAATTACAGGTTGTTGTGACTTGCCACGATGGTACAGGAAACCCAACCTTTGTCCTATATAAACGCAGCTGTCCTGGAACTCACTCTGTAGGCCAGGCTGGCCTCAAACTCAGAGAATCACCTGCCTCTGCCTCCCAAGTTCTGGAATTAAAGGTGTGTGCCACCATGCTGGGCTGGACA